CAGTTAATGAGGACTAGAATGAGTCAGTCCGAATACATTTGCATGTGGGAAGCCTCATTATATTTCTGAATTCTCTGTGGCAAATTGGGCATTAATTAGGATGAAGTGAAACTTCATTAAGGCAACATTGGTTTTTCTTCTCAAAATAGAATGTACTCTGAAGGAAGGTGAATACAGTTGGCTAACCAGAAACCCTACTGTTCCTGACAATGAACTTGTTACATAAAGCTACAGTTTTGATTCGTTTTCTGGACCTCAGCATTTCATTTTAGAATTTAAAGGATCTGAAAAATGTGAACGAACAAAATATCATCGATGACTCTCTAATTTTCCTTCCTCTTTGGCTGTGGTCTTCAAATCCAACAGCATTGCAAAAAATAAGAATAAATCTGATCCCCTAGTAAAGCATAATGCACATAGTGAACATTTCAGCAAATATTTGTTCACAGTGATAAAAATGCAAGCCTGGCAGTCTTTTAAAAATTAATGCTGTGCAGAAAACTAGATCTCGCCACTGCCTCGCTATATATTTCTATAGAGCAGGTGCAATATGGTAAATAATTTGTAGGAAACCTCAGTCAACTGATTTTTTTTTTTTTTGGATGACATGATCTTTTCTTCTTTGTATGATGTATATCTTAGAGTTATGCAATTTTAGTCCTGAAAGGGATCTTAAATACCAACTAGTTCAAGCTCTTGCCTTTTAGATAAGATAGTTGTGATCCAATGAGTTTAGAAATTGACCAGCTTTTGGTGGAAGCTAAACTAGAGCCAACACCCCCAGACTCCTGGTGAAACAACCAAACCATTGAGTATCAGCTGTGGAATCCTACACACTGGATCTCAGTTCCTTTATTCGGTACCAGTTGGTCAGCACTGCTGTTTTCTCCATGGTGACCAGTGATGTTACAATGAGATTTCCATATCAATCATCTGGCATGGTGACCCAGGCACTCCATATGTTAGTTCCTTTCACTCCTCCCTCACCCCTCCATTAGGAAGAGAATATTCTATAAATTGTAGATGAAGCCGAGAGGAGAGCTACTGGAAGCCTCTGACACCAGTGTTTTGGGAGGGATAGGAAATCCTCTTTGAAGAAGAGAAGACTAGAAAGGACAAGTGGATTCAGACTTGTACAGACCCCCTGTTTGAGTTTGTAGGTTTGGGGATGACCTATAGAAATCTCTAGAAGGTTGTGATGGAAACAGAAGGAGATTGGTATTAGAGATTCCCTGGGCAAGAAGGGAAATCCAGTCTTAGGGAAACTTGAAGCCTGCTTAAGGGGCCCAGAGAACATTTCCCTAGTCCCCTGCTCCCTCCCCAGGTAGGGACAGTTCCTTATTCAGCATTTTAGAGCCCAGCCTTCCACTACTGAGCTGTAGACCATGCAGCACTGAGAAAAAGTTTTAGCTGAGGCAAAAATGAGACCAAATCTAAAACTGCATGAGTATCTTGCCTTTCTTTTCAGGGCATTAAAATATTTTTGCTTTCTTGGGATAATAATGATCCATACACAGTAGGGTTTGTTTTGTCTTGTTTGGGGGTTGGGATAGAACTCAGGGCTTCATGCATGCACAGCAAAGCTCTACCACTAAGTGACACCACCAGCCATAAAGTTATTTTTTCATCACCTCTAACTTTGCAAAAATAACAGTATTCCACCTTGTAACCTCCTATAATTTTTTTGAAAGGTCTACTCCTTGAAATACAAAATAATGGGGGTACTACTGCTCTAGACAGTTGTTTTAGTCAACTTTTTCATTGCTGTCACCAAACAACCTGAAAAAGAACAGGTGGAGGAGAAGTTTATTTGGCTCATGTTTTCGGAGGTCTCAGTCGATAGAGGGCCAACTCCGTAGGTGGGCCCAAGGTGAAACGGAAACCCCTCTCTGTACCACCATGGCTTGCTTCTTAGCTCTACTGTTATGGATATGTTATCTTTGGTCCCAAAAGGTACCTTCAATGCCTTAGAAGCTGTCATCCCCCAGAGCCTAGCACTGTGCTGAGTTCCTCTTCCAAACGCTTTGAACCTTTTTATTTTTTCAATGTATCAAGTCAATGTTCTGATCCTGCAGTCAGCAATTTCCATTGTCTTCTCCCTGAACTAAATGATGTCTCAGCAGTGAGCTGACATCAGAGGGGATGGTACCATGTGTGAGGAGATTGCTAATATACTGGGATAGTTTTCAATGAGAAAGTGAATGACATATATTTTTTAAAAAAAAGAAGAAGAGGAGGAATTTAGATATAGAACTGAATAGCTATGTATAGGCAGTTAAAAAAAAAAAAAGATTAGCCCTTACATCTCTATTTTAATACTTACCTACCACGATGATGACCCTGAAGAAGAAATAGAGATTTGATTTTTATTTTCTTCAAGGATTATTGCTTTTTACAATGGAGAATGACAACTCATCAAATGTAATGTGTCTGCTGTAGGCTGCAAAGATGACCAGTAGAGGTGGTAAATGCTGCCTTATTGCTTACAGTAATGTTATTTCTTGGCTATGCTGCTAAACTAAATGTGTATTTTTTTTTAAGGTAGGAATGAGGGCATCTTAGTTTGCTATTCTGCTGAGCATAGTAACTGGGAAACTACTTCACTGAAGACCACATAAATTTTTGTAAATCTTGGTGAGCAAGTTATTCATTTAGGGATGATTTTCCTAGTCAAATAATACTCTTAAAGGATGCCAAAGCCAGATCCCCATAATAGAAGCAGGCTTTATGAAAAGTAAATCTGGGAACAAACCACGTTGGAAATAAGCACAGAAAAATTAACCAGCAAGGACAATTTGCTTGTTAATGGATGTCCATTCTGGCCGTGATTTTGACTTGTAATCTCATTGGCTTGTAAATTGGCTGAGTTTCCTATGAGATACCCAGGCATCTCCCCAAAGCTGAGTTTCCTATGAGATACCCAGGCATCTCCCCGAAAGCCTTTTGGGGATGCAGAAGAAGAAGAATTATCTTATTCCTACTTCTCTCTATGAGAAGATTCTGAAAGGTGTAGCAAGATGTGTGTGTGTGTGTGTGTGTGTCCAGGTAACATGATAGTGCTTCTGCCAAGAGGGTTTTCCTTTTACATATTTCAAGAAAGAGGGGGAGAAATGGACAATGCAATCCTCAAAATGTCCCTTTGAGTATCCAGCACACCTGGGGCATTCCTCAAAGAATGCCAGAGTCAAAGAATTAAAGTCAGAGCCTGGAGGAAGGACTTACTTGCTCTATGATTTCCAGGGTCTCTTGTTCAAAAAACTCATTAAGAAGTTTAGGAATGTCATAGTGCAGCATAAAACCATCTGCAGACCCTTTGGAGAGCAGGGCCCTGCCTGACTTTGCAGTGTACTCCCAGGAAGCTGGCCCTACCTTGAGAGTTAAGAGTCTTGGTGCTTAATGTCAAAATGCATTGGCAGCCTTAGGAAGGATTAAAGGAAATTAAGAATGCAACATAACAAAACCTGGCTCTTGGAGATGACTAGTTTCCTATCACCAGCCTGCCTGGTTAATTCCAAATCAGTTTGCTTCACAGCTAGTGCATGGAATCATGTAATAAAGATGGGCCATGGAAGAAGGGGAAATTGAGATAATGCATTCACTCAGCATAACCCCCCAGTTTTTCTAGCTCACCTTCTCTGCCCTTGTACATATATAATCTCCAATCTCTACACAATAGCCAGAGTGATCTTCGAAAAAATTTATCTGATCTTTCCTACCTCATCCCTTTCCCTAACTACCTCAATGGCCTTCTGCTACTTGGCAGTCAAAGGGAAAATTCTCACCGTGATTCCAAGACTTTGTGTGTGCTCTGTTCTCTTGCCCACCAAATCTCCAAGGATCACCACTTTCTCTGGTGTGGGACCTTAGCACAGGCTATCCCCTACAACCAGGGTGTCTTTCTTTCTCTCTTTGTCCCTCCTTCTGGGATCAAAGTTTTTCTGTGTTTCTGTCTCTCCACTCATAACCCCACCACCACCACCGTTTGAGTTGCACACTTCCTTGCACCCTTAATTTATCTTAAATTGTGTCCTCTTTCTGGATTATGAATACCATCAGGGCATAAGTCCTGTTTGTTTTGTGCAGTATTCTGTCCCCAATACCTAGCATCGTGCCTGGAACACAGGAAGTGCTTAATAAGTGTTTGTTGAAAAGCAAATAGATATATCACCCAATTCATAGTTTATACTTTAATTATACATTACCTTGGGTTATTTGTTGTTCTTCACAAATTTCACCAATTAGTTCAGAAACTTTTGACATCAGTCTACATGTTGCCTCTTTCTTTTGAATCTCCCACAGTGCCCACTTGTAGTTCATGTTCCAAGAATAGTATTGACTAATAGATCATGAGCATGTTGCACATTCACCCCCTGCCACTGCAGTAGAGATAACTAGGAGAGAAATTCAACTGGGTGCTGAGTGGGTTGGCTTAAATCATTATAGATACTTTTTCTTGATTAGCAAGGTAAATAATAACCAAAGCTAGATATAATCTTACTTATGGGATTTTGCTGCCTCAAAATAAAAATATTCAACAGTGATATAAATATCTCCCTTTACCATTTTAGTTTGCTGATTTTGGAAATAGCCTTGATAAACGACTCTGAAGGACTGGCTGTGTTCAGCCACTCTGGTGCGAGTACTGCATCCCTGTTGAGTGTATTGAAATGTGCATAGTCCCGTCTGTTGTGATGACAACTGTGAAAATTTGTCTGGCAAAAGGAATTGATTTGCCATCATTCTTTTTCTGTGACATGACTTGTCCCCAACTCCCTGTTTGAAATGGCATTTGTACACTAGATGTCCAGCAGTAAAATGCTCTTAATGGAGTACTCATGGATAATTTTTTTCTGTAACCTTCACAACTAACCCCATTCAATCCTTCTGATGGCCTTTCCCCCTTGACCATATTCTATTTTTAGATTGGCAAAGATGGCATTGAAAATATTTTCAGTATAATTAATCAATTTTCCCACTGTCTTTAAAAATATCTTTTTCAGACAAGAAGTCCCAAACTCTCTCATAGTCCTCAACCTCCCAGTTTGAGTGACCCAGTCGAGCATTTATCAGAGACGTCCGGTGATTCTTTGGAAGCCATGTCTGAAGGGGAGGCGCCAAGTCCTTTTTCCAGAGGCAGCCGAACTCGTGCAAGCCTTCCTGTGGTGAGGTCAACCAACCAGACAAAAGAAAGATCTCTGGGTAAGCTTCCAGAGGCAGGTTCTGATGCCTCTTTCTGATTGTACGTGTGTATATTTACACTTTTGAACACAAATCCGTGCGTTTCAAATATAAATTCAACTGTTATTTGTAAAAACACAGATCCTGGGGAATTTTGTTGATTTAATATTATTATGTTAGTCAGCTTTCCATCACTGTGACAAAATAACTGAGGTAATCAACTTATAAGGAAGACCTATTTTGTCTCATGGTTTTAAAGATTTCAGTCCATGGTCCATTGCTTTTGGAACTGTGGTGAGGTAGTACATTATGGCAGGGAATGCAAAGTAGAGCCATGCTGCTCACATCATGGTGGCCAGAAAGCAAACAGAGAATCCTGAAATCCCCTTCCAGGGTACACCCCTCAATGATCTAACTTCCTTCCATAAAGTCCCACTGTCTCCCAGTAATCACCACAGTCTGGCAACCAAGCTTTTAACATACAGACTTTAAGAGACCTTTAAAATCCAAACCATAACAAATATCAAGTATTGAAGATTTGCTGAGACTGGGCACATTCAGAAGTGGCTGAAATTAGCAGCTTGAGCCATGAGGCTGGTAGTACTTTCCTGTGTTCCTGGAATAAGGAATTCCAAGGACAGACTACAGAAAGCCTGGCCTCACCTCCCAAGGCTTCCTCCACCAGTCCCAGAGCCACTGGTTGGGGTGCATGCCCGGAGAGGAGGGTATTAGCAGCCTCACACCACTTGTCTGGCAGTCTGGTAGAGGATATGAATGGCTCCAGGAAGAAGGGGGCCATCGTGGCCATCACTCTCAGGACGATAGTTGTGAAAGCCACGAATAGGAAGCTGCTTTTCTTTTCAGAAAGTTTTCCCAGGAAGCAGAGATTCTAACTTTCTACCATTACCACATATCATCTATTTTTATAGGAAATTCACTTTATAGCTTGCTTTGTTTTTTATTGTTGTTGTTGTTCTTTTTTTTTTCCTCCCTTTAACAAAATGCACAAGTCACAGGATCAAGTAGAATTTAAGCCTCTTTGCAGAGCATGCTGCTGGGTTGGTGTTTCATATGCTTCGTCTGCCACATATTGCAGGTTCCCACTTGGTACTTGTGGGTGCAGACAGATGAAGTCAGGGTAACATCAAAGAGGAAAAGGGACAATGTGAAAAAAATCTTCAGGGTCTGGCCCATGCAGAAGACAGCTGAATTCTGCCAGTGAAACCTAGCAAGTATTTTGCTGGGAAAAGAAAGGGGCAGATAGATATACAATGCTACTTTGATTTTGTTTCCCCAACCAGAGCAAATTGGTCCTAAAAACAAAACAAAAAACTATTATCCTCTGGGTTGTCAATATTTTCTTTCTTTTTTTTTTTTTTTTTTACTTTTGCCTGGTAATTTTTCATTAGTTATCAATTTAATTCGACAAATAGTGTACAGTGTAATTCAACATGTGTATACATCATATAATGATCGAAGCAGGGTAGTTACTTCACCTTAAGCTTTTTTTTTTCTTTTTGTAGCACAGATTGAACCCAGAGGTGCTTAACCACTGAGCCACATATCCAACCCTTGATATTTCTTTTTTAATTTTGAGACCAGGTGTCACTAAATTGCTTAGGACCTCACTAAGTTGCTGCGGCTGGTTTTAAACTTGTGATTCTTCTGCCTCAACCTCCTGAGTCACTGGTATTACGGGTGTGCACCACCACACTTGGGTTCTTAAACTTTTTTTTTTTTTTAATTGTTGATAGACCTTTATTTACTTATACGTGGTGCTGAGAATCGAACCCAGTGCCACATGCCAGGCAAGTGCGCTACCGCTGAGTACAGCCCTGATGCACTTAAACTTTTAAAAAATAAACTTTTATGATCACGTAATTGTGCATATTTATGAGGTGTGGTGTGATGCTTCATCATGTGTACAGTATGTATTGATCAAATCAGGGCAATTAATGTTTCCATCTCCTTATCATTACTGTGTGCTGGGACCCTTTGAGTGCCTCTCTTCTGTTTATTTGTAAGATATATCACTGATTATCTTAAGAACATGGAACATTTTTTATTTTCCTGTTTTGTGCAAGAGTCAGCCATGCTAATCCTTGTCGTTTCAATTTTACTAAATATGAAGCTCATGCAAAGGTTCATCATTAATATTTAATATTAAATTTGTATACTTGATCTTAGATTAGTAATGCAGGGTCCTTATTTTTCAAATGAGAGAGGAAGGCCACGGAAAATCTGCCTGTTTGTTTGTTAGTAGGGCACAGTTATTTAAATGGCAGGAGCAGGAAGTACAGACCTCTAGTTCCTGTTAGTCTCACCTTGTACGTGAAGGTAGGTACAGGAGCATGCTGTATGAAGATGACATGGCTTTTCCACTGCCACCAGGCTGCGGCTTTCCTCCCGATTGAAGAGCTTTGTGCTTTCTCAACCCTGCTCAGACCTAGAGCAGGAGCCAGGCTGGGAGTGGAATTTCTCCTTTGTGCTTTGCAGGAAATGAGTGAGGTTCAGGTCTCTGTAGAGATAGCCTCTGCTTTGCAAAAGAAAATGAAGATAAAAAGAACTGCCAATTCCCCTTCCCCCCATACCTGGGGGACCTTGAGTGTTGGATAATAGATCCTTTGTTTCCAAGGCAGGAATTTCCCCTGGCAGCATCCACAGTTGGCTGTGCAGGTAGATACTTGCAGAGTTCAGGAACCAAGCCTCAGGGCAGAGAGACTGCAGGAGCTGGGGGCAGCCTTGCCCAAGGAGTTGCTGAGAGTGGCTGGTGTTTGTGCACAGGGGTGGCTGTACTTTTACAAAGCATTGTTTTACTCTGCAGCCACTTTCCCGTAAAGTGCTGCTCCACACTCTGCCACAGTACGTTAAAAAAAAAAAAAAAGTCCCAAGTATTTATTCTGCCAACTTCATGAGTGGCTTTTTGATCTGTGATTTTTCCTAATTTTTGGATAGAAACAGACACAGGGAGAGGACAGGAGAGAAGGAGAAATTTGCCAAAGTGAGGAAGGCTATGGTTTCAGAAAAATGAAGCTGGCACCTGGACAGCAAGGTTGGAATTGCCCTTGACCACCTCTTCTAGGCCAATTTGGAAATGTCCTCCCAGATGCACCTGGCCCGCCTGGTGTAAATCTATTTGACAGGGATGGGAAATAAAGGGGAAAATGTGAGTCACAGGAGTCTAAATGCTAGGGGACTTGCTCAGCCTCGTCTTTAGGTAAATCCCCTTGTACTTGGCCTTCTTTAACACAGGCTCCTGGGAAGAGTGGCACTTTCTGGAGAACCCAGCCAGATTTACGGTGTCCACAGCATGATGGTGGCATAATTATGACCCCAAGGGGCCTCAGAGGCTGCAGATTGGACACTTAGAGCTGGGACCTCCTGGAAATCCATAGTTGGTCTTTTAGAACTGTGCATTGACATTTATCTTAATCCACAGAGCCTTAAGATCTCCTTCAAAGCCCTGTTTATCTTTATTTCTTGAAAGTTTTGATGGTTTGCTCATTGTAGTTTTTTTTTTTTTTAAACCAGAGATTGAACCCAGAAGTGCTTAACCACTAAGTCACATCCCTGGCCTTTTATTTATTTATTTTTATTTTTGTTTATTTATTTTTAAAATTTTGCAACAGGGTCTCACTAAGTTTCTTAGAACCTCTCTAAGTTGCTGAGGCTGTCTTTGAACTTGCGATCCTCCTGCTTCCGTCTCCTGACCCGTTGGGGTTAGAGGCATGCACTGCCGTACTGGGCATTATTTTTTTTTCTTAAAGACTTTATTATTTCAGAGCAGTTTTAGGTTAAGAGCAAATCTGAGAGGAAAGCACAGAGCATTCCCATATATCCCCGCCCCACACACGTACAGCTTCCCTTGCTACCAGTGTGTCCCTCCAGAGTGGGTGCATTGGGGTCAGTTGGTGAAACTACATCTACACATCATTACCACCCAGAGCCCATAGTTTTCCTTAGGGTTCAATCTTGGTTTTGTACTTTGTATGAGTTTGCACAAATTATGATGCCATGTTCATACAGAGTATTTTCACCGCCCTAAACATCCTCTGTCTTCCACCTATTTATCTCTCTCCCCCTAATTCCTAGCAACCTCTGAGCTTTTTGCTACCTTTATAGTTTTGCCTTTTCCAGAATGTCATAAAGGAATCAGACAGAATGTAAACTGCAAGTTGATTTCTTCTACTTAGTAATGTGCATTTACGTTTCCTCCATGTCTTTTCCTGGCTTGATCATTTCTTTTTAGCACTGAATAATTTTCCAGCATCTAGATGTGTCACAGTTTATCCATTCATCTACTGAGGGATATCTTGGTTGCTTCCAGGTTTTGGCAGTTATGAACAAAGCTGCTAAAAACATCCGAGTGGAGGTTTTTGTGGGGACAGAACTTTGGGAAGACTACCTTTAGTTTAGTTTCATTGTGGATTCTTGAATTAATCTTGAGTTTTAAAAGTATCACATTAAGATATTGTTTATTGTGATCACTGAGTTTTGGGAACTACTTGAATTTTACACTGGAAGCTGTGTCCCACTGGCACCTTTGAAGTGCCTACCCAAATGTCACCCCAGGACTGTAAGATGCCACCACCACCACCCTCTAGTCAGAGTCTGGAATGAAGTTGAATAGGAAAAGCCCTGTCCCCCACCTGTGTTTCAGCATATAGCATTATTTATTACTGGAGTCCCTCCCAGTAATATCAAAAGATTTGACACCTTCATGGTAGAGCCTGGATGGACAGAATTCTCGAAACACTCCCACTCCTTGGGTTTAAACCTTACCCCACTTTGGGCTGCCTGTGCCTGAAGATAAACCTTCACAATTATTCCACTTGAATAACCCCTTGTTCTGTGGCTTCAGTATATTTCCAGAATGAGGAATGCAGGAAGGCTGAGCATTTTACAGAGGCTGTTAGGAGACATATAGGATATAGAATGGAGAGCAGTATGTAATATATTTATGTATAAATAAATATGTACATAGCTATATTTAGCTTGTATGTACATTTTGTAACTCATAA